TGAATGGTTTGGAAAAGTTTTTTTAACTAGGACGTAAATCTTATTGGAATGGTGAAAGAATGGTTTTAGACAAAAAGCTTTCAGAATAGACATGGGGCTTGCGTCGTAAAGGATTTCAGATTTTTTAGCAATCTATAAACGCTTTTAAACTCAGCGCAGCTGGGAAGTTCATGGCAGACCGTCGAATAAACGTTAACTCGCTGAGATAACGCGCCATTGAGCAAAGCATCTGCGCCTCTTTCCCATTTTCTCCTTTTATCTTTGTTTGATATATCTTTCCCTGTATTTGTATAACAGCTTGTTTTGTGAGTCACACGTTTGAGAGAACTGGATCTGCGAGGAACATTTTGATGGGATTGATTCGAAAAAAAAATCATGTGAAATCAATCTCTCATACAGTTGACAATAGGAGTAAAGTTTCTTTCACAGATCTCCTTTTCATCTCTAGTGTAAGAGCGGTGGTCCCATATAATTCTTCTTTTATATCAGCAAAAAAGAAATTAGTGAGGAATCCGACATCCATAAAGTCTGTTGGGATATTCATGAAGGCTAATTGGATATCACAAAGTAGCATCGATGTCATACAAACCCTTCATCGTGGAAATTACTGGAAATTTCACCAAAAAATTTTTTTTCTGCCAGCTCGTTCCTTGGTCATGCTATTTACATTGCATGACTGTCACCTCTTTGCACTTCACATGTTCCTCATAAACCATGTATTGGATGATGGATGGCAGCACCATTAAACTGCTAGGAGGAGGTTTTTGTTCACCACGCACCTGCTCAGGCTCTATGCGCACCTTCGTTCACTTTCGATTTCATGTTTCTGAGCCTAGAAAGGAGGTTGTTATATCGACTCGAGAATGAGAACCGGATTTTTTAAGTGCTTTTTTGAGGCGCACGGCAATGTTTTCCTAGCTCGTATATCTTCCATAGAAATTGATTTTATACTGCGTTCTAGATTTACCTTACATTTTAGACTTTTCTCAGATGTAGTGAAGGTCTTGTCTTCAGCTAATAATGTCCTCAAATTTATGTTCATAGTCTGTCTTTATGCTTTGAAAATTTGCAGTCCCTTTTCGAACTCGAGAATAACATCCGGGGTTTTCTGTGGAGTAAAAGGGATAAATTAGCGCGTCAATAGAAAGTAGGAAATTACATGAGAGTCGTAAAAACTATGGACCGCGCATCCATTTTATATACATTTGCTCATATCAAGCGAATAGGTCGTTTTCTTGTTGGCATAGGCTGTTTGGATGACAGTCACAGCTACAACGGTCCTGTTCCTTGCACCCGCTTCGCTTGGTCCTTGCGATGCGTTCCTTGACGTATTCTCCTGGCAATTTTCCTCTCCCGAGCAGCGATTGAAGGCTGGGAAATGCCCTTAAGGAGGCAAGGTATTTTCCTGCGTTTTAGCGCGGTTCTGTGGTGTCTCATATATGAAGGCAGTGGCTCGTCGAAATATACCCGTGTCAGATGTTGGTATGAGGTAATTGTAGCCACAACCCTACCCTCGAATTCATGCGTTAAGTCTTTAAAACGTGCTCCAAAAACCCACCAATAACGCCCCTCTGATGGGGTTGGGCTGGTGAGCTTTCCATCCCTTTTCAGAACGTAGCGCATAATTTGGATAATGGGAATGGGACTACAATGCGGGGGTCTACTACTCATCTAATACTAACAACCTCTTAAGCGGTCCATTTCTAGCTTGCTATCTGAAGTTACCACATGTTAAGTTTGACGGATTTCGGTGAAAAAGTAATGAAATACTTAGAAAATTGTCATCATTTGCATTTTTACGCCTTTCTAACCTCCAACATCCATGTTTTGAACCTATCTTAAAGTATTATAGTTGAACTGCCCATGCAAGATTACCTTCACAGAAATTTGAAATTCTTTTAGAACATTATTAAACCGTAAAAATGCGCCATTGGGTGTCCATCTGGCAATAAAAATTGCGCCTCTTCACATACACTCGGTCAAACTAAGAATCATGCTCCAAAAAGTCTGCGGTACACATCTAATCGTAAGTGGTCTTTTTGGCCTCGTGGATGTCCTCTTTGAGAGGCGTATGGTCTCGTACAGGAAGAAAAGGCCTTCGATGAGAATGTACTCCAGACTTTTTGGAGCATGATTACAGGTCTGACCTCCACATTTGCAGAATTTTGGAATTGCAAGCATTTTTCGGTGCCAAATGCGAGACTATCACTTGCAGTGAGAAACATCATATGCGTGGTTGGCTGCGGAAAATGCTAATGACCCTTTTCCCAAAAACATTTTTTCGGATGCCGAAGTTGAATTTGGAATGAGAATTTCAAACTCTCGTGGGCATTGTGTATCCCGCACTTTCAACAAAAGAACAACGCTTTTATGGTGGTCTTTTTCTGTTCGTGCAAATTTGGCCGCAATCTAGCTATTAGGTTGAACCGAAAGTTCTGTTGCACCATTTTCAAAAAATCATAACTTCTTCCCTTCACGATGATTTTGCGCAATTCAAATTTCATCTGAAAGCGAAAAGCATGTTGTTTTCAAAAGTCTCTTGGGGGCCTTCCAAAATGCTCAGGTTGTAGAGATAAAAATGAATGAACGAGATCATCCGAAATTGGAATTCTTAAGGAAAAATTCTAAAAATCTAGAAAGTGCGGTAAAATCCAGAACAGCATACCTTCGATACATAGAGCCATGTACTCTGGTAACCTTCACTTTGAGCGTCATGATAGAACACAACCTTCATTTGGGGAGAAGTACAAAAGTTATCCGGGGCGAAGCCTCGGAAATTATGACATAACTAATGACATAACCGTAAAGGAATGAATTTAAATGAGGCAAATATAGCAGTGACATTCAAAAGAAGCTCAAAAAAAGGCGAAGGATTGCGTTTGTATGGCTTTTTTTATTGAGAAGAAGGTTTTTATTTGAAAATTCAATTAAAACTAGGGCAAAATTTCTCAATTAACCTTTCTCTGAAGTGCGGTTGAATGTTGGAAGTTCATTAAAGCCTCTAGAGTTCAATAAAAACGAAAAACTGCGCTCAAATCTTGCGCAAAGAGTCGCCATATGAATGCTGGTCTATCTCGTTATGGAGTGATTTTCAAGATCCGCGACGTTGTCAGTGCTCCTGACCGTCTCATGAGGATCACAACGATATATAATGTTGCAGGGTTTCGTTGAGACCGCGCTAAGATCCACGACCAGAGCCAAATGCCCCGTCGGCTCTGGTCTGTCTCCGCTGCTCGTCTGCGTCTCCGCGGGCTGCGCGCTACCTCGCTACCTCAAATGCGGGGCGCGGGGCATTTGGCTCTGGTACCCTTTTCTTCGTTGTTCGGAGCCCAATTCCGATAATCTATATATCATATTAGAGCTCTTGATCTCTATTTTCACACTGACAACGTCGCGGAACTTCTTTTTAGGATTTAAACGAGAAATCCTCGAAAAACGGCGTTTTCGAAAACCTCTTGTTTTTTCTTCAGTTTAACTTTTTTCACTCGGTTTTATTGTGTATTCGATAGGTCTTGTTTCTGTCTATGATGTAGACAACGTCGCCGAGCTCACTTCTTTGCTTATGCCGGTTTTTTTTTGTGAAAAATACAGAAAAGTGCGTTTTTCTTTACCTTGTTCTCTTTCTGTGCTTTTGCAACGAATTTTTTCCAGCTTGGGCAATACTTTCTCAGAATGATGAGCGGAAGAATCCAGACAACGTCGCAGCGTACGAAACGATTATGCGGGGTTGAAAATTCAAAGGACGCATCAAAAATCAGATTGGCGTCGATGTGCAACACAACTTTGCAGACATGTTTAACATGTTCAATTCAGTTGCTGACAAGTTCTTCTTCTTTCGGTCTCCCAACTAACGCCACAGCTAAACAGCGCTTTTTTTTTATTGGAAAAGAACTTTGTTGTTGTTGCCACCCAATTTAACCGGCAATCCTGGAGACGAAACTCTGCATAGGAAACCACCAAGTTAAGGTCTCAGATTTGGTGATGTGCTAACCTCTGCTTTATATGAATTTTCTAAGTTTCCTAATTTAATTTGTATCTCTAAATTTTCGTCTATTTTTCTGAAACAACCTTCACTTTTTATAGGGGGGCAGGGACTCAAACAACTATCACTTTCTAGCCTCTGTCTCTTGACTATCGAAGGTATGCAGAACAGCCGTCATCCTAAGTTTTCTTATATTTTATAAAGAACTGAGTCAAGTTTGTGCTGATCGAGCTCTTCTTCCAAAAGTTATGATTTTTTTGAAGAAAAAATGCCAAAAAATCAATTTCCTAAGAATTCTTAAGATTTTGATTTTCCACCATTTTTTCCAAAAAAATCATAACTTTTGAAAGAAGAGCTCGATCAGCACAAACTTGACTCAGTTAGTAATAAAATATAAGAAAACTTAGGATGATGGCTTGGATTTCATCGCACAGTTTTTAGTTTTTTAGAATTTTTGCTTAAAAATTCCGAATTTCAGATGATCTCGTTCCTTCATTTTTATCTCTGCAACCCGAGCATTTTGGAAGGTCTCCAGGAAATTTTTAGAAACTACATGCTTGCGCCTTCAGACAAAATTTGAATTGCGCAAAATCGTCGCGAACGAAAGAAGTTATGATTTTTTGAAAATGGTGCGACAGAACTTTCGGTTCAACCTAACACACATTTCGAGTGCCGAATGTCGTAACTTTGCGCTGTGATTAGTACGAAACTACCGCGAAAATTGTCGGAACATGAAGTCATTTCTACTACTATAAACTGATCGATTAAGCCGTACGCACTCGCGAGACAAAAAGGTCCGGTTTCGTAGGGCTAATTGGTGGTTACTTGCAAGTAAATGCATTGGGCAAGAGAAATGTCTTGAAGTGGAATTTTAATACGTCTGGTTTTTGTCATTTCATGCATGGAGAAACACCAGTAACAATTTATATGAAAATCAGATTGTTTCACGTTTCGGTGTTGACCTCGTTGCAGTTTATGTGGTGTCCCTAACATTCCCTCTTTATCGTTATCCATTTAGGTGATGGGATGTGGGGCATCGATCTCATTAGCGGTTTTCTTCCCATTGTCGTACGTCGGCTTGCTCCACATCGTTGATCATGACGGTACGGATCGAAATGATCCCCATTCGATACGAAAACGTTTCATTGCTGCAGCAGTGAATAATGTTCTGTCTGTCAGCATTACTTATGCAGTGCTGTCTCAGGTTAGATTTGTTTATCAGTCACAAATCAAAATAATGGGAAGAAATATTAGGTTGGTTCATAATCAATGCACGTTTTTTCTACCTTTTCTTTTAAACGCTAGTTTTCAATCAAAAATCGTTTTTCTTTAAACCCATCTGAACTATCGGAAAGCTCGTTTCTTCTATTTTCTGACATGCACTTCTGTTTTCGGAGACTTTCTTCAGACACCGAAGTTCCGTATATTTGAAGGTGAGGATCTTAAACTTATTATATTTTCCTCATTCGACTTGCCCTAAATCCACGAAAAATGCTCAAATTTGTTTCAAAAAATAAGTATTATAATCGCAAAGATTACAAAATGCTCGCTAAGGTTAAATTTTTTAAAAGTCCTGAGCCGAGAAGCTTTAACTCAAACTTAGCTGAATACTGGGATCACTCGGAGCTCTATAAAATGCTTATGTGAGAAGCGATTACAGAACTTTCACCTGGTTCTGATAGAGTAGACCAAGGACTACTAATGATAGGAAAACGGCAGAATCTCCTCGTTTTTCAAATGAGAAAAAATTGGAAGAATCTAAAAAATACACTTTTTTGCCTTCTCTAAAATGCAGGAGAAAATGGTACTTTTGATTTTTGGCAATATTTTTTTCGCAGAAAATTTTTGGAAAAAGCCAAGTTCCACGCTACTATCGAATCAACCGTCGGCTACACCATGAGCAAAGTTTGCTCCATTCTAGTCCTTTTGAGAGTAAGTTATTCTCTTTCAAACTAGAGCTTTTCAGAGAAAATTCTCGGTAAATTTTGAGCCGGAAAATCTTTCCCGTGGTGAGTATCGTCGACTCTAAAAATCGTGACGACGGTCTGCAGTGCGGCCAGTGCGCGCCGCACGGCACTGCCGCTTTATCGTAGGGCAATCTTGCTTCTCTGCAGTGTAGGCTCCCTGCGGTAGCCATGAAAGTTCCTGCAAGCAAAAAAGATGCAAAAAGAAAAAGAAAAACCACAAGAACTCACCTTCTCCACGTAATTTGGGCGAATCACTAGGTGGCAGTGCCGTGCGGCGCGCACTGGCCGCACTGCAGACCGTCGTCACGATTTTTAGAGTCGACGATGCAAGTACACAAAAGTATACATTTTATATCTAAACCAGTGCGTCACCTCTGCTTCGCAGAGGCTCGCACTGGCCCTACTTTCTGTATGCCTTGCTCATTCGCGCATAATAGTGACATTGAAACTTACCGCGCTATACAGGCTATCACGAATGAATTGTAAACAACTACTCATTCCAAGAGCTTTTTTGTGTGAGATCGGTATTTTCGCGTGGATGAAACTTTTCCGAGAAGAATGAATGCAAATTTAAACCGATTTTTGGACATTTTATGGTTTGGTAGTCGCCATAACGACGATGATCACCGTGGGCTACATCTTTGTGCAAAAATCTTCCCAAATGATTAGGTAAAATCTTGACAAATTGAACATTTACGCAACTGATTTTTTTCGGCGCCATTTTCGTAAAGTAATAAACTTTAGTTCAATTTTTTGGGCTAAAGTCCATGGCTTGCACATTAGCTTGTTAATCATACCCATGAATTTGCAAAAAGTGGAGGTACAGGCCCAACTTTGCTGGCCAGAAGCCAAGTGGATCCGTTTGCAGCGCAGTTTTTGAGGGATCCACTCAACGGATCCGCTCGTGCTTTTGCATAGTGGACTTTCATGCTGCTAGCATGCGCCATACAAAATTTGGGCTCAAGAGGTTGGCTGGAACTCGCTTTACGAATTTCGTAACGGACAGACACACACACACACACACACAAAAACACGTAAACAACCCTTAGCCCGTTATTATAAGTCATGAAGTTTGCTGTTTACAACAGTTTTTGATGCGCGCAGGAAGAGTTTCGGAAAAGAACTATCTTCATTAGAAGTGGAATTGAGAAAACGTGCATTAATTATGAACCAACCTAATAAATCAAAGTTTTTTTTGCGAAATATTCGCTCCATTCTGGCGGCAATGGTGTCGCAAATATATGGAAGGAGCGAGACAAGCCATAAAAACATAAAAAATCAGTTGCATTAGCTTTGCTAACTTTCAATGTATGAATTGTAATTGCTTGTAATGTTTGCTTTTTTTAAGGGCAAAAATCATTAGAAACACGAAAATTCCAATTCTGTGGAATCTATAAGGTTCTTGAGGTATCATATGAGAAAAATGACAATGTTTTGATTACTTCCGGTGACAATTAGCGAATTAGCCTTAAAGTTTGAAAGGGCAAGATAATTAGCTTGAGAAAGAATGGGAGACGCAGAAGGGAGGAGAGGGAAGAGGTCTGACTAGGAGTTGATTGCTGACAGCATTATCTATTTGAAGCATGTTTTTGGAAGAGAAGAACTCTATAACAACTATAGTTTAGCGCGGTGATCCGTTCCCTTTCCGAACGATGGGTTTTCACACTGAGGGTACTCTGGCCGCACTGACCCTGCCTGCTGCATTGGTGGCTATTTTGTATACCGGACAGTGGATGATGATGTATCTCGACGGACATTTGTGGTCGAATTTTGGTGAGCTAGTCGTTTTCTGTTGGAGGGCGAGACAAGCAGAGAAAAGGGTTTCCCCTTGAGCAAGTTCTTATATTTTTTAGAGTCACTTCAGTCTTTTTGAGTTGAAGTTTTAAAGTCATTAATGATTGGTTGTAGGTATAAAAGGCTCTTAGGAGATTTTTGTGGGATTTTTCCCCATAAGCGTCTTGCCATGCCTCTTTCAAAGCTGTAAGCTTTTTCAGCAAGCTAATCAGCATCTCGAAAACAGTTAAAGATTTTTTACCCCTCCCCCAACCTACAAAATTCTGGGGCCGGTGCTGCTCGTACTATGTTACCTGTACCTTAGCAGACTAAGGTTTTCGTAGAGGTTCATCGTGTTGAGCTGAGTACAGCTACATGACCAACCCAATTTTTTAGCGCTGTCAGAATGGCAAGCCTCATTCAGCCAACCGACTTGGATTCGCGATGCCATAATGGTAAGATTGGTATTACTTCGAATTTTTTTAATCAAATAGTGCGGTTTAGGCACCTGTGACGGAAGAAATTGCATTTCGCTGCTGTTGTGTGTCATTACTGTCAGGATGCTTGTCTCCACTGATGACACTGATCGTTTGTCCGCTCCCGTTTGCCCTAAGTCATTTTCATCACATCGGTGATGACCGCCGACGGGGCTTTTCATTATCGCAGGCTATTGCTAGGAGAGGTAAGTACCTGATTTTTTTTTCTTACTTGAGCAGCTCAGGGAGGCTCAGCTTTTTTTAGCATTCCAATTTACTTACACTTATGCCTTTGGTGCGTACGCAGCTTATCTCTTCGTTTCAACGGGTCATGCATTGGCACCTATAGTAACACACGCTATGTGTAATAGCTTAGGATTGCCGATGTTTACGGAAATAGGTGAGGGCATTTGTTTGATGCGAAATAGCCTATACATAGATTGTAAACCGTTAGAATTCTTTAAGATGCTTTTTCAAAACGATGGCATCGAGTTTTGTTGTGGTCATCATATGCAGCAGGGATGGTGGGCTTCACACTACTTGTCGGGCCATTGACAAGATCGGAACTGTACCGACGATGGTAAAGCAGCTTTAACAAAGCCCAATTAGAATAAGCTAAGTATTCTGGTCTCTACATATTTTCGAAGAAGGAACGAACCTGAAATGGCCAGAATCTTTTTCTTTTGGTCTACGCCAGACACTCGTTGTCAAGTGCTTTCTGGTGAGGTTTGAAAGCACAGTGATTGATTTCTTGGTTGGATTCTTAGGTTTCATGTCGCTCCGTATATCCGTCGTTGTAGACCTTCATTTTTGAAATTCTCACGTCTTTCGTAAGTTGTTGGAGCTACAAGACGTAAATAACTTAATTTGCTACCATTTTACGTTTCTTCGCATCACTTTTCATTGGCAACTTCTTAAAAGATTGCATGGAGTCTCATATTGCAGGCTCAATTATCTTAAATCTATTGTGCCAGCGGGGAGGTTAGCGACTGTCCACCTGACTTCCCATAAACTAATCGGGGATTCCTAGCTAGGCAGTGGCGTACCGAGGGGGGGGGGCGGGGGGGGGCGCGCGCCCCCCCCGAGAATGGGTCGCGAAATTTTTGAAAGTTACTTATAAGGGTTATAAAAATGTGCAAATGACTTGTTTATACTTGTAAATAATTAAAATAATTTTTAAAAATTTTTAAAAATTCAAATTAGCCTTCTAAAAAATTTTTTTTCGGGGGCGTGGCTGACGCCACGCCCCCTTTTTCCAGATTTTAGGGGTTGGGGACCCGCAAAAATTTTGAGAAGCACCTTTAAAATTTTTTCGGAGTGCGTGGCTAACGCCACGCACCTTCATTAGAAAAATTTTTTTGTCGCGCCCCCCCCGAGCCGAAATCCTGGGTACGCCACTGTAGCTAGGCTATTGAAGCAGCAAGATTCATTGGTGGCTGAGTGGGTTATATACGAGCATCTGTTCGCATATTTTCAAAACGGACCTTCCTCATTCATGTTAAGCTGAATTATCCGTTCAAAGAAAAAATTACTAGACCGAAAGTTCCAAATTGAGTTACTCGGCTATCAATGAGTCGTATTCGTGTTGTTTGGGCCTACCGTACTTCACTGGTATGAGAGCGATCCTCATAGTTTGTCGGCCAGATGCTGCTGTTTTACATAGTTCTTGTCATCTCTAAGAATTTTACATGTCTTTCCACTACTTATGAATGTTCTCATTTTTTTACGTGTGACTCTTGTGACTCTTGTTTTGCTTTCTGATCCTAGTCTTGTGATCTGTACTTTCAATATCTATTGAGTAATAAAGAATTTATCTAATTTCAAATTTCCAAGGAGCTAAAATTCTCTGTAGAGGGACAGGGGCGAGGGCACGGCAGAAATTGCTCTCCTTCCTTCTCTAACGCAAATTGGAACTAGTTCTTGTTTTCATTTATTGTTAGAGTTCAAACATTTAAAAATTAGTTATACTACTTCAAACTCATTATCAAAGTTGTTCTAACATTTCGAGAGGCAACAAGTTCATATCTTCGCACTAGTAATTTATTTAGGAAGTTAATCAAAAGGGGACTTTTGGACGTTTTACGCGCTTTTTGGCGAAGGATGACGGTTCCATTACACAACTTCTGGGACTAGGAAATATTATCTACTCTATTTTCAGGTGTATAAGCCGCACTTTTTTCCAACGAGCTGCTCAGCCGCCTCATTGTGTTTCGAGAAGCGATCCTTATGCAGCACGATTCCTTCAGGCAATTCGCAGCATGGTATAGGGTCCTTCAATGCGAAGTCCTTTGAAGTGTTCGGGCTGGTCGATGTGAGCTAGGATCACACCGCGGTTTATACACCTGAAAATATAATAATTAATACGCTTTGTACCATCTACTTCAAATCTAGCTTCAATACGACGGTGTAGAGCCTTGCTAATCTATGCACGCCTTTTCAATATCACAAATTGGCATTTGGGCGAGTAAAGTCATGATCTCTCACGTTTAGAAGTGATATTCTAGTGGATTTTCCAAGAAGATAACTGGAGCATCACTGTGTTCCCTCATAAAACATAATTGGGCTACGCTTGTCGTCGGAACTTTTGTGTGCCAAAATCTGATTCTTGTCAAAATGTGCCACTGTGGATCTACAGTATGCACGATTCAGTGTAGTAAAGAATCATACGAGCATTAAAGACTTCATGCCTTCAGACGACGTCACAGCGTACTCTGAATAAACGCCAATGCTTATTACGCTGGCAAAGGTAGAATTGACTTTGTAATACATTGATATATGGTGTCTATCCTCTCAAAGACACTTTCCGCTTCTTTGATATATGTCATTTTGGAGATTTTCTGCTAGTTACGAATGCATCTCTTTTTTATTAGGTTGGAAACTAGGTTTTGCAATTGGTCTCATAACTTCCCTCTCACTCAACATGGCGCACTCAAGTTTTGCCACTGCGTTGGTTATTACGTAAGCTACAAGTGCAGCTGCTGTCCTCCCAAATTCTGACGTCGCAGTCAGGGTTACGATAGGTGCATGGTATGAAGGGGAAAAATTCCAAGTTTGACGGATTTGGCTGAAACTTGGCATAGGGATGTTATCCGACATGCTAATCACGAAAACGATAGTGAATTGCGTGATAAGGGCTTTTTTGTAGGATTACTGTGAGTGTACGTCATGGGGTCTCACCCTAAACAAAGAAAAAGGCGTTGATTCAACAAATGAATGTGATATTCGCGTTTGGCAGGTCAAATAACCTTAGTACGTAAAGTCTCGGCGGAATTGGAGCTTTGGACTCTTTAGTCATTGACGGTCGTCCCCAGCAGCTCCTGCGTACATCGACTCGTTCGACTTTATGAGGACGCCAAATCTCGACATGCCCCTAAATTTTGTTTCTTTCTTACTAGGCCAAAGGAGTCAACCTCCAGCATTAATTTATACACGAATCCGGATTACTGCGCATGGTCTAGGCTGCCAAAGGCTTCATTTTAACTCAAAACCCCAAAAATTCTCAAATTTCACTAGTTTTCGAAAAACGCCTGAAACTTTTCTATTTCGTGTTCAAACTTTAGACAATTTGTGCTCACTTGTAGCCCACATTGCCTTCTACATAATGCCAAATTTTGAGTGCGCCACATCCAAAGAGAGTGAAGTTATGAAACCAGTTGCAAAACTTAGTTTCCAGCCTAATATTTTATGTGACTCGTGTGGGTCACTTTGTTACATGTGATCGTGTTTTTCCCCTTTATAGTCTATGTCTAGTTTAATCTGCATTTCGAATGGATCTTTTCTACCGTAATAAGAGTTTATCGAAATTGAAAAGGACAGATATCAGTCAGCAAGAATAAAAAAGCGTTAGGGCTAAAGAGCCTACTATAACCAATATCTATCAGTGACTAGCGAAATTTCGCTAAAGGTTGAAGTGCGTTCTAGAACAGTTATCTAAGTTTTATGTAAATCTAAGTTCATGGAGCTGTTTATGATCGAATAAATTAAGTTTTATTCATTGCAAGGTTCAACTGATTATGAGCAAATCTATTCACCGCTTCCTTCGGCAGAATCGCGATGAGGAGGAGGAGGTTGTCTTTGCGGAACTTTCTGGAATCGCACATATATTCTAAAGAAGATTGTGCACTTTGTAAAAGCTTTTGTTCGTTATCTAGTAATCGACAAATACTTCAATCCCTCTTCCCCAAAAGATCTTCATTTTAACGCAAATCTCCTAAGAGAAAACATGAGAGCGAAATTGCAGCACTTTTAACAGTCTTCAGCTCCTCTGCGCTTTCCCTTTTTGGGAAACTTTTGCGTTTTGCAGAGGCTGAGAGAATGACATTTCATTGTCTTAGTTTTTTTCCCTACAGGTTCCCTATTATTGTTATCACTGTACAGAAAGCGTACCCTCAACAAGTGGACTTTGCTTTGATGGTCGACACCAATCTGGACAGATTTGTGCGTAGCTCCCTCTTGAAATTGCACTCGTCCATATTCGCGATTACTTCTACGAAGCGCAGGTACCTGTAAATCTTGAGATTTACCTTTGCTTTAAAACATGAGATGAACAAAGCATACTGGTTTAGCACTTGGACCCTTCTTCAATTTTTCGAAGTATCTCTGCACAATCGACTTAACGTCCGACGCCATCGCCACCGATGGAGGTTGATATAGAGATGCATTGAGATAGCCCTAAAATGTTTGAATAATTTTGATATGGTATTTTGTACATTTATACGATTCTCTCGCTACTGTAGGAAGGGACGACTTCTTTGGATTTACTTCAGCGACCATATCTTTTTGGCAGTGGCGGTTACAGGATTTCCGTCTAGCGGGGGCGCGACGAAAGATCTTCTCATGAAAATGGTGGCGCCCGCACTCCGAAGAATTTCTTAGGATGCTTCCCAAAATTTTTGCGCTCCCATAACCCCGAAACTTCAAAAAAAAAAGGGGGGGAAGCTGACTGTTTGAGTACCTCCATTGTAGCTTTGGCAGCTGGTTCCACGGCTCGTTCCACAATCATGTTGACAGAGCCATCTGCCTAAAAAAAGATTGGTGATTAGAAGACTTTGATTGATATTTCGGAAGAAAGAGAAAAAATTATAAGGTAATAACCTGAAGTGATCTCAATATCAGCGTTTTTGCTACGTCCTTGTCAGATACTGGTTTGCCATTGACGTCAACTATTCTATCCGCAACTTGTAAAGCATCGGCAGAAAGTGTGCCTTTAAGATTTCGCATATACGTTTTCATTTGTTAACCTTGCTATGTCATGCAGATAAAAAATAAGTTAGTGCCGGGCAACCCTTTCCAATTCGCCAGCAGTTGGTGCTGTTTTGAAGTGCAGGTGGCTTGAATATAACAACATAAGCAAGATTGTTGCACATGTCAATGGAGAATATGTGCGAATTTCTTTTATGCCAGACAAATGCCAGACGTTTTGGAAAACCCCGTTTGCCCACCTCGTGCCGGGCCCTGTCTCGACTCTGATAGGTATTCCACCCACATAACTTCAAAGTTCCGGCTGTATCTACCCACATAACTAAGTCTTGGACAGACCTGACTAGTTTGACGAAAAAATAGGGTCAATAGCAGCTTGCATATGATCGAAGGGGCAGGCTTCAAGTTTGGATAAAAAGAGAACTTCAGAGGTAGTATGAGGTGGCCCGCTTCGGAACACGAGTTAGTTAAGACCCAAAACGAAAGGGACGGTGATAACATTATTGTACGATCATAGGCGCGAGACCAATACTTACTTGTGAACCGGAATGTTAATGACGAGAGAAAATGCGCAAACATTTTGTTATAGTTTTTGACCGCAAAATCTTCTGTGGCCGTATTCATCAACGAACCCAGTGGGTTCCAGAACCCATTGGATAGGCTCAACCCACAAAACCGGTATTCATTCACGAAACTAGTGGGTTCCGGAACCCACAAAAAGTTAACCAATATTCACGAACGAACCCAGTGGGTTCGCGAATCCAAAGGTCAAGCATACCGGTTTTCTTGAAACAAGTTACCCAGTTCTGGTGGGTTCCGGAACCCACTGAGGGCTGGGTTGGCAAACCCAGCATGGTTCAAATTCTTCAGTGGGTTACATGTGAACCCAGTTCTCTTGCTGAATATTGTGTGAGTTTATATAAGCAGGGATGGTGACTACTCAACACAAATACATTAACAACACTTTTCATATTTTTTATGACTGACAGGAATTGTTGGATAAATTTTGATAAGATATTCCACTGAGATGTAGGACTAGCAAACTTGATGCCAATCACAATGGCAATCTTTGAAGAGTAGTAAACAAGCTTTTTACAGAAATTTTCAATGAGAACGTGAAAGCCAATGCATTTTCCGATGTGTGTGCATACTATCTCAGAATTCAGATACTGCTGTGGCTAAAGAGGGAGCCTCATAAGGAAGCAGAGCGTCCGCGCATTCATGTTAAGAATTTGGTTGTTCGTGTTTGTTCATGTTTGTCTATGTTCGCTTATTCCGCAGATTATAAGACGAACGCTTCAAAAAAGTGGGAAAAAGGGGAGACGGTCTTTGCGCACGGGCGGTATCTAGCGCTATCCTGATTTTGACTTGTCTCAACACGTCACACACGCCTCAACTCTTTCCTCCCCTAGCTTTGCTTAGGCAAAAGCCGCCGCAGGGTGTGTCGGCGCGACGGTGGTCCTGCGCAGAAGGCATTATGGTCCTGCGAAAAGATCTACACCCGGGAAAAAGTTTTCAATAAAAAACGTTTGTTCCTTAATTTTGTGGAGTGAAAAATGGGAGGGGAACAACTCATGTTAGTCACGCATTATTTAGTTTGCATGATAGTGAGAACTCTGTACAACGATGATCCCTTTGCACATTCCATTCTAAGGAAGACGTAATTCTCCCCTTCGGGCGCCCCCGCCAAGAAATACAAAAGGATAATTTAGACAATTCTCACATCGGCTATTTTACTTATTACCACCAAATTTAATCCCTCCTCTCAAGCCAAATGAAACCGCTCAAACAAAAAATTTAAAAATTGATAGAATCGCCGATTTCGACAATGAATTATTTTATTAGTGATCATCGCAATCTATTATGCCCCTGCACCAAGTTTGGACTATTTTTAGAAAGCCCAGTACGCACTTTTTATCTTTTGACGCCTAAGTCAAAAGCGATGACATTTTTACCGGGATCAAAAAAAATGTGAATGAATGTGACACAAATCAAGCAAAAACGACTTCAGCGCTCCCTGCGAATGCCACTTTGTCACTGATGTGAGGATTCCTTCTGAAAGGCGTACATATACTCGTTATGCGTAGCCAAAGCGTCCCTAAAATAAATCTTAGCTACAGTCTGCCCCAATCGGGATCAGGCTGAACCGTCGGCTGAATCTGCGCGCTCGCAGCACTAGGGGATTGCGCTGCATACGCGCGCTGTCGAGAGAGTGAAGAGATCGAGGAGAGAGCAGACTAGCTAGCCGCAGATGTGCCGCGAAACCCTTCGCGGCGGGGACTCCCGCCATGCCGATTTTGGCCTGGTTAGGATTGGAGCAGATTGTCGCCTTGCACCACGACAATCGTTTCAAACTACGTAGATTCATATATGTCAGCTATGTCATGCAATCTTCAATACGTCTAATATTCTTCTTATGAGTTAAGAAACAATGCTACAAGAAAGATCATACGCACAAAAAAGCGTAGAACCCAAGTCGACAAGTCATGTCTGGGTCCGAGAGAATACTCAGATAAAGAAGGATAAAGAAATGCAAGTTTTGTCGCACAAAAGACATTGATTGATGCCATTCATTCGAACATAAGAGTTCCCGAAAGCGTGTCAGGCGTACTGGCGCTTTTAGTTTGGCGCGATTCCTGTGTGTCAAGAGATATGGAAAAATAGTACACAGACTGGAGAGGCACATTGGTGACGCGTCATGGGTTGGCGAACCCAGCGGGGCACTTGTAAATACCGATCTTACTCAGTGGGTTCGCGAACCCACGGTACCCACTGGGTTCGCAAACCTAATGGGTTCCGGAACCCACTGAGTTCGTTAATGAATACGGCCACTGATTGCGCTGCGACGAAATGCTGGCATAGCATAAGATAAGATAATGAGAGATATAGAAAGGTCCTTGTAGTTCGATTAATTTAGCGGAAATCTAAGGTTGATAAACCTAATAATCTTGACTTATAATGAAGCGCAAAGACTTTGCCTTTTCGTCTGTGTGTGGATGTGTGTACATCTGTTTGCCACGAGATTCATAAGGCGAGTTGTAGCCAACGTTTTGAGCCCAATTTTGCGTAATATAAGTCAGCAGCATTTAGGTTCACCATGCTGAAGGGCGAGCAGATCCGATGAGCGGGCCGAAAAGGAATAATTGCATCAATCACCATTCCTCAAGATTCTACTTGAGAAACCAAGCAGATTTTTACACAGACATGTAATTCAAAGTGCTCTTTGTCCTCCATGGCGAACGCCCGCGTACATAAATTCTGTAACTGACCACGATGCTCATTTACCCTTCTGCACAGAAACTACTTCCTAAAGCTACCGATCTTACATGAAAAGTTTTAATGAGTAGTTGATTACAATTCATTTGTGATGGTCAGCATTGGCGGGTGAGTACCAAAGCTATCATCAAGTGAACACGAGGAAGGAAGATGGTAGAACGTGTGAACCTTCGCGAAAAAAAAGGTAGCACTGGTCAGGGCATAACGGGCAATGCGGTTGTCAACGGTTGCAATTTACGGTTTGGTACAGATAAGAAGCAACGGGGATAAACTCGCGCACTATGGCCAATCAGGAGCAGCCAATTTCTTTCGGAGAGAATAGTCAGTATTTACGCCTATTGGCCGTATAGCTCTTCCACCTAACAGTCACAGAGTATAACAAAAGCACTTGTAGCATTTTAGGGGCAATAGAGGATGGTCGCGCGTCACTCTTTTGTCTGTTGGGAAAAAATTAGCACAGAAGTTTGCAAGAAATCAACAGTCAAATATAGTTGATTGCACGGATTTGAGCGGGCTAAACGCCACGAGCGCGCGTTTTGCGAGCTAACATTGGCCATGAGCCAAAATTTGGTTGAATCTGACAGACATTTACCGGGCTCCACTCTGCTAACAATGACCAAATTGCGATATGTCTTTATTCCAAGTCCAAATCGCAATCCTGGAGTTACCCGAAGAATGACCAGAAAATAAGCAAACCTGAAATTGCTGATTTTGACGTTCATTAGGATGGAGAACGAACACCGCCAGTTTGGGCCTCCTCCGCGGACTACTGGTCCTGCAACGGCATGCAACAGCATTGCAAAAGGATCAGTTGTCTGCGAAGGCGGCTCAAAACCGGCGGAGTTTGTTCCCCACCCGCGGTGTTCAATGTAGATACAAGCTCTTACCCAGGCTTGGGAACGAAGTTACGCTGACGTTCCGGTGTGAGATAGTACTGCTCCTGCTCAGGTGAATCGCTAGACATTGGGTACACAAGTCGTAAGAAATGTGTTGCTTGTAAATCTGCTGAAAAGTTGTCGCGATGACATTGCAGAGCGGATGAAATTAGGACATACAAAAATTGTAATGTATTTGACTAGCTCAAACGGCAACTTCTATGAAAATGAAGATTACTAGTGTGGCGGCATCTATACAGATTATCACTCACTGAGAGAAGATTAACAAAGCAAAATCAGTAGTTTTGTGGAGTAAGTAAACAGATGCAAGATGCAAAGAACTAAAGCTGTTCCAAATAGAAGCAAAAATTTATACCACTATCCAAGTTCGGTGCAGCCGCCTCGAGTAAAGAAGATTGACGGAAATGCCTTCCAAGCATTCGACGGAGGTTCGATTCCCCCCGAACGCATTCGTTTTGCAGGCCAACCACGATATAGGGTGTGAATGCGAAACAGATAGCTTTGCGCCATGAACGTCTACGTAGTTTGAAGGAACTGCTACCACGCGTTCGTGGTGTAATGGTCAGCGTGGATGCCTTCCAAGCATTCGACGGGGGTTCGATTCCCCCCGAACGCATTCGTTTTGCAGGCCAACCACGATATAGGGTGTGAATGCGAAACAGATAGCTTTGCGCCATGAACGTCTACGTAGTTTGAAGGAACTGCTATCAAGCGTTCGTGGTGTAATGGTCAGCATGGATGCCTTCCAAGCATTCGACGGGGGTTCGATTCCCCCCGAACGCATTCGTTTTGCAGGCCAACCACGATATAGGGTGTGAATGCGAAACAGATAGCTTTGCGCCATGAACGTCTACGTAGTTTGAAGGAACTGCTACCACGCGTTCGTGGTGTAATGGTCAGCGTGGATGCCTTCCAAGCATTCGACGGGGGTTCGATTCCCCCCGAACGCATTCGTTTTGCAGGCCAACCACGATATAGGGTGTGAATGCGAAACAGATAGCTTTGCGCCATGAACGTCTACGTAGTTTACAGGAACTGCTATCACGCGTTCGTGGTGTAATGGTCAGCATGGATGCCTTCCAAGCATTCGACGGGGATTCGATTCCCCCCGAACGCATTCGTTTTGCAGGCCAACCACGATATAGGGTGTGAATGCGAAACAGATAGCTTTGCGCCATGAACGTCTACGTAGTTTTGAAGGAACTGCTATCACGCATTCGTGGTGTAATGGTCAGCATGGATGCCTTCCAAGCATTCGACGGGGGTTCGATTCCCCCCGGACGCATTCGTTTTGCAGGCCAACCACGATATAGGGTGTGAATGCGAAACAGATAGCTTTGCGCCATGAACGTCTACGTAGTTTACAGGAACTGCTATCAAGCGTTCGTGGTGTAATGGTCAGCATGGATGCCTTCCAAGCATTCGACGGGGGTTCGATTCCCCCCGAACGCATTCGTTTTGCAGGCCAACCACGATATAGGGTGTGAATGCGAAACAGATAGCTTTGCGCCATGAACGTCTACGTAATTTGAAGGAACTGCTAACAAGCGTTCGTGGTGTAATGGTCAGCATGGATGCCTTCCAAGCATTCGACGGGGGTTCGTTTCCCCCCGAACGCATTCGTTTTGCAGGCCAACCACGATATAGGGTGTGAATGCGAAACAGATAGCTTTGCGCCATGAACGTCTACGTAGTTTGAAGGAACTGCTAACAAGCGTTCGTGGTGTAATGGTCAGCATGGATGCCTTCCAAGCATTCGACGGGGGTTCGATTCCCCCCGAACGCATTCGTTTTGCAGGCCAACCACGATATAGGGTGTGAATGCGAAACAGATAGCTTTGCGCCATGAACGTCTACGTAGTTTGAAGGAACTGCTATCACGCGTTCGTGGTGTAATGGTCAGCATGGATGCCTTCCAAGCATTCGACGGGGGTTCGATTCCCCTCGAACGCATTCGTTTTGCAGGCCAACCACGATATAGGGTGTGAATGCGAAACAGGTAGCTTTGCGCCATGAACGTCTACGTAGTTTGAAGGAACTGCTATCAAGCGTTCGTGGTGTAATGGTCAGCATGGATGCCTTCCAAGCATTCGACGGGGGTTCGTTTCCCCCCGAACGCATTCGTTTTGCAGGCCAACCACGATATAGGGTGTGAATGCGAAACAGATAGCTTTGCGCCATGAACGTCTACGTAGTTTGAAGGAACTGCTAACAAGCGTTCGTGGTGTAATGGTCAGCATGGATGCCTTCCAAGCATTCGACGGGGGTTCGATTCCCCCCGAACGCATTCGTTTTGCAGGCCAACCACAATATAGGGTGTGAATGCGAAACAGATAGCTTTGCGCCATGAACGTCTATGTAGTTTGAAGGAACTGCTATCAAGCGTTCGTGGTGTAATGGTCAGCATGGATGCCTTCCAAGCATTCGACGGGGGTTCGATTCCCCCCGAACGCATTCGTTTTGCAGGCCAACCACGATATAGGGTGTGAATGCGAAACAGATAGCTTTGCGCCATGAACGTCTACGTAGTTTGAAGGAACTGCTATCACGCGTTCGTGGTGTAATGGTCAGCATGGATGCCTTCCAAGCATTCGACGGGGGTTCGATTCCCCCCGAACGGATTCGTTTTGCAGGCCAACCACGATATAGGGTGTGAATGCGAAACAGGTAGCTTTGCGCCATGAACGTCTACGTAGTTTGAAGGAACTGCTATCACGCGTTCGTGGTGTAATGGTCAGCATGGATGCCTTCCAAGCATTCGACGGGGGTTCGATTCCCCCCGAACGCATTCGTTTTGCAAGCCAACCACGATATAGGGTGTGAATGCGAAACAGATAGCTTTGCGCCATGAACGTTTACGTAGTTTGAAGGAACTGCTATCACGCGTTCGTGGTGTAATGGTCAGCATGGATGCCTTCCAAGCATTCGACGGGGGTTCGATTCCCCCCGAACGCATTCGTTTTGCAGGCCAGCCACGATATAGGGTGTGAATGCGAAACAGATAGCTTTGCGCCATGAACGTCTACGTAGTTTGAAGGAACTGCTATCACGCGTTCGTGGTGTAATGGTCAGCATGGATGCCTTCCAAGCATTCGACGGGGGTTCGATTCCCCCCGAACGCATTCGTTTTGCAGGCCAACCACGATATAGGGTGTGAATGCGAAACAGATAGCTTTGCGCCATGAACGTCTACGTAGTTTGAAGGAACTGCTAACAAGCGTTCGTGGTGTAAAGGTCAGCATGGATGCCTTCCAAGCATTCGACGGGGGTTCGATTCCCCCCGAACGCATTCGTTTTGCAGGCCAACCACGATATAGGGTGTGAATGCGAAACAGATAGCTTTGCGCCATGAACGTCTACGTAGTTTGAAGGAACTGCTATCACGCGTTCGTGGTGTAATGGTCAGCATGGATGCCTTCCAAGCATTCGACGGGGGTTTGATTCCCCCCGAACGCATTCGTTTTGCAGGCCAACCACGATATAGGGTGTGAATGCGAAACAGGTAGCTTTGCGCCATGAACGTCTACGTAGTTTGAAGGAACTGCTATCACGCGTTCGTGGTGTAATGGTCAGCATGGATGCCTTCCAAGCATTCGACTTGGGTTCGATTCCCTCCGAACGCATTCGTTTTGCAGGCCAACCGCGATATAGGGTGTGAATGCGAAACAGATAGCTTTGCGCCATGAACGTCTACGTAGTTTGAAGGAACTGCTATCACGCGTTCGTGGTGTAATGGTCAGCATGGATGCCTTCCAAGCATTCGACGGGGGTTCGATTCCCCCCGAACGGATTCGTTTTGCAGGCCAACCACGATATAGGGTGTGAATGCGAAACAGGTAGCTTTGCGCCATGAACGTCTACGTAGTTTGAAGGAACTGCTATCACGCGTTCGTGGTGTAATGGTCAGCATGGATGCCTTCCAAGCATTCGACGGGGGTTCGATTCCCCCCGAACGCATTCGTTTTGCAAGCCAACCACGATATAGGGTGTGAATGCGAAACAGATAGCTTTGCGCCATGAACGTTTACGTAGTTTGAAGGAACTGCTATCACGCGTTCGTGGTGTAATGGTCAGCATGGATGCCTTCCAAGCATTCGACGGGGGTTCGATTCCCCCCGAACGCATTCGTTTTGCAGGCCAGCCACGATATAGGGTGTGAATGCGAAACAGATAGCTTTGCGCCATGAACGTCTACGTAGTTTGAAGGAACTGCTATCACGCGTTCGTGGTGTAATGGTCAGCATGGATGCCTTCCAAGCATTCGACGGGGGTTCGATTCCCCCCGAACGCATTCGTTTTGCAGGCCAACCACGATATAGGGTGTGAATGCGAAACAGATAGCTTTGCGCCATGAACGTCTACGTAGTTTGAAGGAACTGCTAACAAGCGTTCGTGGTGTAAAGGTCAGCATGGATGCCTTCCAAGCATTCGACGGGGGTTCGATTCCCCCCGAACGCATTCGTTTTGCAGGCCAACCACGATATAGGGTGTGAATGCGAAACAGATAGCTTTGCGCCATGAACGTCTACGTAGTTTGAAGGAACTGCTATCAAGCGTTCGTGGTGTAATGGTCAGCATGGATGCCTTCCAAGCATTCGACTTGGGTTCGATTCCCTCCGAACGCATTCGTTTTGCAGGCCAACCGCGATATAGGGTGTGAATGCGAAACAGATAGCTTTGCGCCATGAACGTCTACGTAGTTGGAAGGAACTGCTATCACGCGTTCGTGGTGTAATGGTCAGCATGGATGCCTTCCAAGCATTCGACGGGGGTTCGATTCCCCCCGAACGCATTCGTTTTGCAGGCCAACCACGATATAGGGTGTGAATGCGAAACAGATAGCTTTGCGCCATGAACGTCTACGTAGTTTGAAGGAACTGCTAACAAGCGTTCGTGGTGTAATGGTCAGCATGGATGCCTTCCAAGCATTCGACGGGGGTTCGATTCCCCCCGAACGCATTCGTTTTGCAGGCCAACCACGATATAGGGTGTGAATGCGAAACAGATAGCTTTCCGCCATGAACGTCTACGTAGTTTGAAGGAACTGCTATCACGCGTTCGTGGTGTAATGGTCAGCATGGATGCCTTCCAAGCATTCGACGGGGTTCGATTCCCCCCGAACGCATTCGTTTTGCAGGCCAACCACGATGTAGGGTGTGAATGCGAAACAGATAGCTTTGCGCCATGAAC